GAGTGGGTTAAAGGAGGGGCTAAATATGTACGCTGAGAACAGTTTTTTCTTTATTTGTAGCATTGCGACTAAGGAAGATTTCAGTGGTTGGCCAAGGCGCGAGTCCCCATCGGCTGTCCAGTTGGCCACTGAGGAGCAGACAGAGGAGGGATCAGTGGTGTGGGAAGAGTTCAGAGCATCCGGTTACGTTTATGCGTGGGTGAGTCTGTGATGACATCACTACAGGGGGCAGGGCCTCGTTTACGATTGGTGGTGGAATCTAAATGGAGTGCCATCTCCTCAGCTATGAAGGTGTTGAGGTCCACATCATGAAGCCCGTTCCTACGACGACTGAGAGACTGTGCAGGGTGAGTTGGGGAACCAGGAGGACCAGAACGCACAGAGATGCTGGCCATGGCACCACTAAGGCCTGGAAAAGAAGAGATGGGGAAAAAAAGAATAAGACAACTTATATGAATTCGAGCCTTGCAACTTCATAAAGCGTTCAGGTGCTTTGACTAACCATGCAGTGCGATGGCCTCTCTAAAGGGTTGCAGGTCGGTCTCCACTGAGCTGCCAGTCTCCGAAGGTGACGGTCTGCTCGCAGATACCATGGAAACTCTGGGTGGGGCGCGAGCTGTACGAGGAGGTGGAACTTTGCCACACAGGAAGCTAATGAGTTCTTCTCGTCTTATAGTTCTTCTGCGTTTTTTCGCCCATGCAATCACCTCTTTATTCCTGCGCTGATAGCCTAAGTGGATGCCCAGGTCATAGCTCCGCTGGCGGGCCTCCATACTCTCTGATGACATACAAGGATGCCTAATTTCAGTATCTCTGGACACAACAATCGCAACTTGTACATATAAAATGCTATAAAAAGGCTGAACCACATAATGGTTAACAGTATCATTTTACTTGCCTTTATACAGATTAGTGACAGCTGTGGCTGCATTTTGGAAGGGCACCCAGAGGGAGAGTCCTTGCTGTTGACATACTCGATCTGTGAATTACAAAATTATTCTTTAGCGACAAGAACAAAAGGCAGACAAACAAAAAGAAATGAGAGCTAAAAACCAAGTGAACGAACAGAAAATTAAATGAGCAATACATAAATATCTACTCTATAAACAGATGCATAACGTGTAGAAAAGGTCAAATTGCAGCAACGGGTTCGGTTTGTGGTCTGCTGGTATTTTGATTTTTATCTGAGACTTTATATAGTCCCATGGAAAAGTGTTTGTCCCCTCTTTAAAAAAAAATAAATAAAAAATGTTAAAACACCTCTCTGACAAAATGAAGTAGGCTTCAAAAGATATCAAAAAGCAACAAATGATGCCATGACTAAGGAAACTCAATAGCCAAGATATCAATGACTATGTTTCTATCAGCCTAAAAGTGGTTTCAAAAGCACTTCTAAAGGTGAATCACAATGAGATCATTATACACAAATGGAGAAAACACAGTGGTGAACCTCGCCAGGAGTGGCCGGCCTACCAATATTACTCCAGGAACGTACACACTCATCCAGGAGGTCACAAAACTACCAAAATCATCATCTAAACAATTTGGCCTAATTTGGTTCAGTTCAGGCCAGAGTTCATAATATAAACAATAAGAAAGAGAGTGGGCAAAATTGACACCCATGGGAGAGTTGAGGGGAAAACCACCACCTTGTGTCACATTTACCAAAAAACATCTTCATGATCCCCAAGACTTCTGAGAAAATGTTCTGTAGACTGATGAGACAATAGCTGAAACCAGCACAGAATGCCATAAAAAGAAGAGCACTGTAACAGTAAAACATGGTTGTGGTACTGTGATGTTCTGGGGCTGCTTTGCTGCTTGAGGTAGATTTTGCTGTAATTGATGGAACGATGAATTTGGTTCTCTACCAGAAAATCCTGAAGGAGAATGGATGGCAATGAGTTAATGCACTGAAGTTCAAAAAATGAGGAAAATCTGTACTCCCAGAAATCAATGGGAGATGCGACAGATGGCTGCTGTCCCATTGTCAAACAGCCAAAACAAGAAAAATATTACTTAATAATGCAGTTCTGACACCTGTGCACATTAAGGTTCATAACTGCTTTAACTGTGTAACTGGAACTTTTCTGCATCTGTGCTACAATGACTAAAGTATACTCCTTTTCTATAATGGGACGCTTTTATACCCTATTTAAGGTGAAGATGATAAACTTTTGTAACAGTTTTTACTAATGTTTTTTAACTAATGTTCCACTAACGACTGAAATTGAGTAGGTTCTCTTCCTACTTGTACAGATGGGGACTGAAACTAAAAATGTGCTACAAGATGGCCACCGAGTTGCTTCTAAAATGATTTTACTTTTAGTTCGGCAGGGCTGTGGTGCCATGGAGCTAAAGAATAGATACCATTTAATCTTCAAGAAACCATGGACTTTGTCACCTTTTAACATGTATGTGTCTTTGCAAACACTGACTGACGCACACAACAGGAAGTCATGATCCACATATCCATTAATAGCTTTCTGGCTACAATGGAAGACACCCTAAAGACTGAGTCAGCAGACTGGCTGATTGACCTCAGATTTGAGAAACACTGTTTGAGCATTTTCAAATTCAGTATCCACCACAATAAGTCTCAAGGCTAAAACTAAAACTCTCAAAACTATGCATATGCTTAGGATGCTTAAGTAAAATTATGTGAATATCAACAACTTGTGCGATGTTTACCTCCAGTTTTTTTATTTTTAAAAGAAATGCAATGATAGTATTTTCATGACCCAAAAAATAAATGCAGTTTTCCTGACTAGAAACTCTTACATTTTTTCTGCACTGGCTGCTCATAAGTGTATTCATGTACAGGTGTGTTCCTGATTTTAGGACACACGGGGAGGAGGGTCTTGTAAAGAGAAGTACCTGACCAAGCAGGATTTCTAGACAGTGGTGGACAAACATCGTAATTGTACTGGTGAAATAGAGCTCCATAAATATTGAGGATAGGACATCAAATAAATCCCATATACTGGTGATCAAGGCAATTCGAGGCAACTAAAGCATTTAACACACAAAAACCCCTGCAGGACAAATCTGAATAACTAAGGGATCACAATTTACAGCGAGTTTCTGGTCCTGATGAGAGGCTGTCAGAGCAAAAAAGACAAAAAACAAAAACAAAAAATAAAACAACAACAACAAAAAAAAAAAACATATCTGGGCAGGACAAATTTTCAACAAGAACATTTATGGTAATCCTTTCGCCATTTTGTTCTGGTAATGAAAATCATTGCACCCAGAAAGAGGAAACTGAACTGCGTCTTGGTATAAAACGTCTTTTGTGTCGTTAACTTCTGGACGTCCACAACACCGCTATAATAAAAATTTACGACTAAGCGTCAACAAATGTCTTGTTTTCAGTCTACCATCTCCTCCCTGTGTTTCGCCATTTTGACTAGCTGTATAACTGATAACCGGCAGACAAAACACTTTTTGTGTAAGCCATATCGTGTACATAACCGACGAACAACTGTAATAAACCCGTGACGCCCGCACCGGCAAGTTAACCCGTTATTTCGGGGACATTTTAGCGTGTCTTCTTTTCAATCCCTTAAACCAGTGAGACCTCTGACAGCTAAGGCCACCGTGAGCTACATTCAGCCTTGTTGTCCGACGCTCTGACACGGTGACCGGCTGTTAGCGGCTGCTAGCGTTAGCATGTGGTATAGTTAGCTAGCAAAAGGAACAGGGTCACGATAATCAAGACGAGAAGCGACGAAGACTCGATTTTAAACTCTGTTTGAAAGAATACACCTCCCAGTCCAACTGCAAACTACAACGGTGACAAACAACGCCGGTTGTACTTTAGAGAAAAAGCTGTGAATAGTGCCCTTTGTGTCTCTCCGCCCAGCGATAATGTTAGCTCAGGCGGCTAGCTTAGCTTGAATTCCGGCATCTTCTGTACATACCTTTGTAGAGCTGTGCTACCGCCGTGGCTGAGTTCTGAAAGAGGTGCCACAGCTTTTGCTGGCTTTGCTCTGACTCCTCTTCGTTTGGCGCATCCTGTTCCGCCTCAGCTAAGCACTGCCGTTCCCATTTCGAGAACCAGTGCTCGGGGCCGTGCTCTTGGATCTCCGCTTCTCCCTCCTCTTTCCTCTCCTCCATAGCTAACGTTAGGCGTTAGCTAATAGCTTATAAGCTAACCTTCGTGTAAAATACAGGATTTTTAATTTCCCGGCTGTGCTATACTTTTCTGTGCTATACCGGAACAATACGTCAAAGTACACAAAATAAAAGCCAGAACTGCTGTTATAGCCACATTGTAGATATTTAACACCCCACCCGTATACCCAGTGCTAAACACACAAAACTGAGGAACGCAATGACAACACCTCGGAATTTCTGGAGCTTGCCCCTCCCATTATCTCAATGTGCTGAAAATAGATTGGTAGAAACAATTTTATAGGCGGTGCTTGATGCTGAACACGAAGCCTGATTGGACGGTGACAAAAAGACAAATTGTCGGAGAAAAACAATGTTGATCCCACCCAGAAGATTTTCTATAGCCTGTTACAGTGGATTCCGTGCGTTAGGGGGCAGCCCGACCATGGAAATGTCGTACATGTAATCAGTGTGGTCAAAGGTCTAAGGACACCCTGTTTGTGCTCATACTTTTTCTTTGTTTTCGTTTTAAATTCAAGATCAGTATCAGTAGACTGAACAGTAGTCACTGAGACCAAGTAACAATCGTGGTACACAAATACTCCTAAATACTCAGACTTTCTCAAACAGTAGCTCACAAAGTGTGAAGTCAGAAAACAGTACTTTTCCTAATGCTGCATTATTTATGTTACATTAGCAGAGAAACGCAGACGACGCGAGGAGGAGGACAGGCAGATACAGACTATAAATACACACACCAGGTAATCAGGAAATGGCACACAGGAGGGGACACAGCTGGAACTAATGGACATAACGAGACACAGACCTACAAAGTAAAACAGGAAAGACACAGACTGTTTTACAACACAAAACTCAGAGACATGAACAGAGTACAGAGGGAGACACAGGTAGGGATAATACACGACAACCAAACACAAAGAACTAATACAAAATCAGAATAAACTAGAAAAATAATAATAATAAACTCACAGCGCTGGGTCACCGACCCAGGACCATGACAGAATTTGTGCTTGCTGGCATTAATACTGCTGTCGCCTTCATGAATATGAATAATCGTACTGTGTATAAATTACCTGTATAAATAAACATGTATTAACGTATAGGTATGGTAGAATGGCTGACATCTGCAATACTTTCATAGGGGTAATCAGCATTATACTATACGCATATCACCAGCTGCCATCAAATTACTTGCATAGATTGTAATGCTCATGGGTGGAATTACTGCTGTGCTTGTGATTTTGAATGGGAGAGTTCAGTGCCACATGATCACAGTAAGCCACAACTCTTTAAGGATTGAGAGAGTCCAAAGTTCCGATGGGTAATAAGAGATATCTTTTGGTTACATTTTCACTCACCTGTATCTCCTTCAGCCTGCACAGGTCTCTGTGCCAGACTGCTTCTCTCTTTTGAACCCAGCTTCCAGACTCTCTTTTCCTCTCTTTCTGCTAGCAACTCCATTCTTTGAACATGACTAAGGGGGAGAATAGTATCCGTGTTGATGACTACGACTACTTTCAGGACCGGGGTCCAACTGTCACATTCAGCAACCTCCTCTACTGTGTTCAAGAAACAAAGTTCTGCCGAAAGAAGGGGGCCGAAAAGATCATCCTCCATGATGTGAGGTAGGACATGCTGGTTACCCGGGAGAATGTGAATGTATCTACATATACTTTTATGTGATATAACAGCTTTATTACTGTGTGGTGACCGATAACATGCTGGAACTATAGCATGTGACAGTCAACGTTTTTACGCTGGTCTCATAGAAATACTCTATGCACTTTCCACGTTGTTCTTTTTGAGCTTATACGTTGTTCTGTTGTTAATCAGGAAAAGAGTCAAAGATGTTCTGGCAGGTTAAAAACCTGAGCCAGACTGGATTCACTCTCATTACACCTAAATATATGAGTGACAAATTCAAAAAAACAAAAAACAAAACTATAGGTGGTTTCTTTTATGCTCCTTGACTTGGATCCACTTGAGTTCATATTTATTAAGCAGTGTCACTGAATGGCTTGATGATCATGAAAATATCAATAAAATATGGCAGTTGCAATCACCAGATCCCAACTACCTAAACGCCTATGGTAGACTTTGGGTCACATTGGTCAGTATCTTTGAAAAGAATGGGGTTTACCCCTCAAGTAGATTTCTAGAGACCTAATGTGCCATGACTAAGGAATACTGAGGTGCAGTGAGTCTGTTCTAGTGACGTGTTTTGGTCTATCACCTTGCTAAGTCACTTTGTGTTGATTTTTCCTTTAATTCTTTAATGTGTACAGGTCAATCAGGCAATAAAAGTGTAAATAACATTAGTTTTCAGTTGTAGCTCTACTTTTTCAATATGCTGTAACTTAGAATGCTAAAAGTACACATGTATGTGTTTGGCCGTAGCGTTTTATTTTCATAGCATTGTCATCTTCTTTTATTTTCTGCATTTTGCAGAAAGCATTGAAAGAAATGAACAGTATAACCTCCAATGCTTGAGTAGAAAGAATGTATCTTGTGGATTATGTATTAAGGATCACTAAAGCATTGCATGACTTGCTGCAGTGGGATCATAAGACCGGGGATGAATGCCATCATGGGTGCCACAGGAAGCGGTAAAACATCGTAAGACATTTCCCTGCAAATACATAGTCAGTAGTTTATAAGCATGAACAGGCCACCCAATGATGTGTTTTGTTTTTTTTATCCTGATCGCAGACTCCTGGATGTACTTGCAGGGAGGAAAAATCCAGCTGGACTGCGTCAGGGAAATGTATTGGTGAACGGCAAAGTCGTCACGTCTGACCTGAGGCTCAGCTCTGCCTACGTGGTTCAGGTACACAGATGCAAACAGATGCATATTTTTTAACATCACACACTGGTGAGTGGTTTATCTACGTCGCCCTTTTGGTTCCAGGATGATATTCTGATGGGGACTCTGAGCGTGAGAGAGAACCTGCTTTTCAGTGCCAACTTGCGTCTGAACCCTAAGGATCACTCCACAGCAGATAAACACCAGCAAGTAAACACCATCATAGAAGACTTGGGCCTTACAGACTGTGCTGACACTAAGGTACAGAGCACCATGCACAAACTACTTTTTTTAAACTGTAGAGGAAATATCAAAAAAATCTTACAGTATTTTATGCAAAATAACTTATCATTAGTGCTTTTTAAATCCTATTACTATGAGACCACAGTACCAACTAAACTGTATATAATCGCTACAAAAATACATTGAAGTTTGGTGTTTTGGTGTAACTTACATACAAGAAAAGTTACTCTCCCATTTTATTTTGAAAAATCAAACTTTATAACAGAAGTATCACTCTAGTTTGTCCTTTTTGCACATTTTAGATGCAAAGCAAGTTTTGCGTGTGTGTATTCAGATAGGTACGGAGTTTCTGCGTGGTGTATCAGGAGGGGAGAGGAAGCGGTGCAGCATTGGGATGGAGCTCATCACGTCTCCCTCTCTGCTGTTTCTGGATGAGCCGACCACTGGCTTGGATTCTAACACTGCAAACTGCATCATCGGTCTACTACACAAGTACAGCTCAGCTACTTAACTATCACTCATTACACACATACACAAAAGACACAAATAACACAAAACCGAAGCACGCTGTATAAAATTAGGTAGAGTCAAACAGCAGCGTGCTGTTCATTGCTATCTTTAGTTCACATTTACACTATGCTGGTGTTTCTGGTGTAAATGATCTCTTTATGTCACCATCTACTGCCGTCTGTGTAATAAAAATGTCCAAAAATGTATGAAGGTTGTCCAGAAGAGGCAAGACTGTGATCTTCTCCATCCACCAACCCCGATACTCCATCTTCAAACAGTTTGACCACCTCACACTGATGCATAAAGGGGAGGTGGTGTATGCAGGAGCAGCAGACCATGCCCTGATGTACTTCACAGACCTTGGTATGTAATGCATGAGTTTGTATATTTACTGTAAAAGTTGGAAGACTCTGACTGAGAATCCTATAAAAAATGATGAGCAGTTGAATACCAAAGGGAAATATACAGTATATGAGCTGCTGAATGAGGTCAGAAGTCAGGGCATGACTTAAGTCCTGTTTTATATTTATATGTTCATACTTAACTTTGTTCTACAGTGTGAAAATGATCTGAGATTATTTAGATAATCCAGCCCTGAACTGGGTTCTTGGATTCATGAATGGATGTAGCACTTCCTCAAATCCAGATTTTGTATGCTTTTAAAGTTGAATGAGGTTTTATCAGTATGTCTGTGTGTGCTTTGCACAGGCTATCAGATTGAGCCTTTCAACAATCCAGCTGACTTCTTCATGGACATCACAAATGGAGAAACAAAATCAACAGTACAATGGGACATGGCAGGTAAGTAATAATTCACAGTTAAAAAAAATGTTCTCCTACTTCGCTTCTCCAACCACCAACTACTTTTTGCTGAGAGACACACACAAAGACAACCTTCTAAAATAGACAAATCACTCTTTGTAACACCAGTTAAATATCCAAGCATGGTTTGGTGCTTCGTGAGTAAGAAAAAAAAATCAATGTTGGATAAAGTTATTGGTGAAGTTACAGTTTTAGACATGTCGGTCACAGATTGCTCCAACAGCATTTCAAAAACTATATTCTACAATGTTTTTGCTTCATAACACAACCTGCCGCATACTGGGCGGCTATAAAAGCCTCACTTATTACAAACCAAGCTCATGTTTGTGCAGCATGTTTGAACTTTGAGTTGGGAGGCAGCTAGGTTTACTTAACGTGACGTAAAGGAAGGTTTGTGTTACGTAACTAAGCACTTCTGGAGTAATTGCTCAGTTTTACATCTCCAAACCCATCTCACTTAGATTTCTTGGGTGGCTGTTATAAATCCATGTTTTTATTATGCTGTCCTTAACTTGACACCGTGATTTCCTCTCTCACCCAAGAGAATTGCAAAAACCCCTTAGCAATAAAGTATCAGCAGTCCCAGCTGTACCAGAATATGATGGAGGAGCTGGACCATGTGAACCAGAGCATTGTTGACGGGGTCACAGGTGAAGACAAGCCGGCCAACTACGCCACCTCTTTCTTCTATCAGGTGAGCAAATCGTCAGTTGCAGAGAACATTTTTTAATTTTAAAATGATAGATTATTTTCTGGTTGTTGGAAATCTCAGGTCTCATTAGTTTAATGATTAACAGAAGCAGACGTGAGTTTATTAGGTTATGTCACAGAGTTTACGAGCCAGCTGTTATCTCAGTGTGCTTGGCTGTGTGCTGATCCGACTCAGTTTTACTGTCTACTCATAAAAAATGTTGATAATTATCCTCTTTGTGTCTGTGTGTGTGGTGCATCTGTGTGTGCGTGAGCTAGATGCGTGTGGTGTGTGGCAGGACAGTGTTGAACACTCTGAGGAACCCTCAGACCTCCTACGCCCAACTGGCTCTCAACATCTTCTTTGCCATTCTTGTGGGACTCATTTATTACCAAATGCCCCTGACACTGCCCGAGGCTTTACAGAACAGGTACACAACAGTGTGCTTTGTTTAATTCAGGGTATCTGCTCCATTTTCACCTCTGTATTCCACATAATATAATTTAAAATGTTTTTAACCGTATATTGTTGTAGGGAATTATTGCAGGGCCGCTACTGTGAAGGCCACTTGGTTCCAGATAGTCAAATAGTATTTGCCTACCTCCTGATTTTCATATTTATTTGCATATTTGTCGCACTTATGTTTCCGATCGTCAAACAAATTTTAATGTTAGATGAAGATAACCCGAGTAAACACAAAATGCAGTTTTCAAATGATGATTTTATTTATTAAGGGAATAATCTATCCAAACCTACATGGCCCTGTGTGAAACAGTGATTCCCCCCTAAAACTAATAACTGGTTGTGCCACCCTTGGCAGCAAGACATGCAATCAAGCATTTGCGATAACTTCTAATGGTTTTTTTTTACAGTGCTATGAAGAAATTTTGGCCCACTCTTCTGCACAGAATTGTTTTAATTCAGCCACGTTGGAGCATTTTACACCGTGAGTTGTTTGAGGTTTATGGTCATGCCAAAGCATATCAATCTGATTTAAGTCCAGACTTTGACTAGACCACGCCAAAACCTTTTTTTGGCCATTCAGAGGTGGATTTTGTGGTGTGTTCTTAGTCATTGTCCTTCTGTATAACTCAAGTGTGCTCGTGAGATTCGGGGCATGAACTGATGGTGACACATTCTCCTTCAGGATGTTTCTGGTAGAGAGCAGAATTCATGTTTCCATCAATTACAGCAAGCTGCCCTGAAACAGAAAAACAGCCCCAGACCGTCACACTACCACCACCATGTTTGACTGTCAGTATAATGTTCTTGTCATGAAATACTGGGTCACTTTTATGCAGATGCAACTGGACTCAAACCTTCCAAAGAGTTCAGCGTTTGTCTCATCAATCCAGAGTATTTTTGTGGTTAGGGTTTTGTGGATAATCAAGATGTTTTTTGGTAAATGTGACACAAGCATTTATGTTCTTTGTGGTCGCTGTTTTTTTTTCCACTTGACTCCCCCATGGATGCCATTTTTTCCCCAGTCTCTTTCTTATTGAATCATGAAGACTGAGCTTAACTGAGACAAGTGAGACCTGCAGTTTTTTTGGATGTTCTGAGGGGCAAATCATTTTCACACAGTGTCAGGGAGGTTTAGATAGTTTATTTCCCTCTTAATAAATGAAATCCTGAATAAATGAATGAGATCGCGAATACAAGCGGCGGAAATGGGCTTCCTCCGAAGGGTGGCTGGCCTCTCTCTTAGAGATAGGGTGAGAAGTTCGGCCATTCAGAAGAGGCTCAGAATAGAGCCGCTGCTCCTCCACATCGAAAGGAGCCAGCTGAGGTGGTTCGGGCATCTGACAAGGATGCCTCCTGGGCGCCTCCTGGGTGAGGTGTTCCGGGCATGTCCCACCGGGAGGAGGCCCCGGGGCAGGGTATCTCTCGGCTGGCCTGGGAATGCCTTGGTGTTCCCCCAGATATACTGGAGGAGGTGGCTGGGAAGAGGGAGGTCTGGGCTTCTCTGCTTGGGCTGCTGCCCTGGCGACCTGGCCCCGGATAAGCGGAAGAAAATGGATGGATGGATGGCTAAATGAAATCCTGCATTTTACATTTACTCTGCTTATATTTGTCTAATGTTAACATTTGTTTGATGACACATGTAGGTGTGACAAATAATTTTCACAGTAATGTATCATGGCTGACATGTTCTTAACTTTTTAAACCATTGTCTCTTTTGTCTTTTAATGGCAGGAGTGGAGCGTTCTTCTTCCTTATCATCAACATGGTGTTTGGGAATCTTTCTGCTGTTGAACTCTTTATAAATGAAAGGGCGATCTTCATGTGAGTGAGACATTAAGCTTATGTGTGCCCTTTAGAAGTGTGACTTGTGCTATTCTGTATTTTTCTTCAGTCAAAGCCAAAGCTGCTATATTCTTAAATCCACCATAGTTACAGAGATGATAAATCATAAAAACAAGGCATGTAGTTTTGTTTTCATAGAGGTTACACGACATTCCAAAAACAACTGGACATTGTGATTTTTATTCATTATTACTCAAGTCAGAGAAAATAGTTCATTTGTTATACAGTGTTTTCAGCTGTGGTTCACTACACATGTCTAACTATTGCACAGGGACCCCTTAAAAGAAAGAGCCTTTTACAAGAACCCAATCAGATTCCTACAGCCAATAAAGCACTCTTGTGTCAGTCCAAAAGGGTCGCTGGCACCATATGTACTCTAAAACTTCTCGACATATAATTCAGACCAGTTGTATAGCAATAAACAGAAACATACTTTGGGAAAGTTGGGTGATCCCTGCAGTTGTCTGGAAAATGCAGGGGACACCAGGAAAATGCAACAGTACTCTGAAAAGACAGAAGGGACTAGAGCAAAGGGTCTTTAATTTTTCCAGCAGAGCCAGTCATGCTCTGTTGGCTATATTTCATTTACAGTAATGCATTCACAAAGGACTACAAATAAATCCGGAGCTCTAACCCTACCTAACTCTAACATTGACCCTGAAACTGAGTCTTAGCCCTCAGACAGGCTTTTAAAGAGGTGTGAAATAAAACAAGCTGGCCTCTCACTGATTGTAATGGAGAAAACTCTCACAAGAATAGCTGTACAAGTAAACAGAATAATTTTGTTTATGTGTTTTTCCATCTTAAAGGTGACAAATGATTTCTATCACTTGCTCATATCGTTGGGAAGAGCCACTGGTGAGAAAGGTGTTACCCACCATCTGCCTGCAACACACACATTTAATTAGTGTGTCTGTTTTGTAGTCCTTAGGCTTTATGACTGCCTGCATGAGACATATTTTTTGGACATTTGTAAATTGTAACTACCGGTATGACAAAGTAATCTGGGTTATGCTCTCTCTGCGAGGACTCTGGACTAGAGCCCCGTTAAGAGAGGCAACATAACCTCATTAATACTCATCAGCTAATTCATCTTGGCTGCTGTTCGCAAGAAAACCAAACTCACATGGCAGTCATCTCAGGGGCTGGAAAAAAACAGCCAAAATGCCAAAACTGCAGTTCCTCTAGCTGCCACTTGGGGCTCTTTTCAAAAGCAAGTCAATCCCTGTAGATGTTAAAATAGACTTCACAGCAGTAATTAACATGTTTATAGTCTTGTGAAAATTAAAAAAAAATGTTTTCGAGTTTATAGATAATTGATCTCCTCGTGATATCTGTACTGGGAGTAATTGTTTTGTATAACTCACCCATTTAAATTGCACTGAGGCTTAAAGTTTGTTTTATTAAAAGCATAGCTTGTCAAATCCATTTACTGTAAAAGTTGCTGGGTGCAAGTGATAGGTGGCTGCCAGCACAGCCTGTTGTTGTCGATAGCTAACTGGACTTATAGCCAGGATGTCCTGACCAAGTGTGTGGTGTTGCTGCCTTTTAAAGCATTTTTTTTTTTTAAATTCAATCATCAATGAATTAGCGTGAGCTTAATTTTAGAAGAGGTGCATGCTTATGAGTTGCATCACACTTTGATATAAAATATAGCTAAAAAAAAGTCTGTTTTTCAAATTGTCAGTGAATCTAACCCTTTTCACCCTCTCACATTGTTTTTGAGTTTGTTTTTTTCCCTGTTAATGTTTGTTGCAGTCATGAGAACTCTAGCGGCTATTACCGTACCTCCGTCTACTTCCTGTCCAAGATCTTTGCTGATCTCATCCCCAATCGCATGATTCCCATCATTGTGTTTTCAGCAATTGCCTACTACATGATGGGTAACATCATCCTTGCATGCAAGCAGACATACACATACAAAACACACATTGCGTCGTATCATGAAAGATGTTCTGATACAGTCAGTTAGTACAGAGAGGAGCTGCTGGTGTTTCATTCACATCCATGAAATGTCTTATTTAGGGCTAACTCCAAATCCACAGAGTGGTTTTGCAGTATGAGTGAGAGTTTGGATGCAGTAAATTAGTGAATAAGGAAACAGCCCAGTTCCTTCTGCACAGGCTGAGCCTCATCTCAAGGGTGTTCCAGGTTTGATGAATAAAATCTGGATCCCCATAATCTACTTCCTAATTAATTGAGCCGCTGTTGATTAATTTTAATTTGGAAGCTTCCATTTGATCTCACTGCCACTGTGCCAGGAGCAGCCCGCTCAATAATTTCCTGTCTTCCTGTGTGCACGTGTCCACCATTCCTTCAGGGTTGAAGCCTGCCTTTGAGACGTTCCTCTGTTTCGCTCTGACCATGTCTCTGGTCAGTCTGGCAGGAGTTGGTCTGGCCTTCCTCGTCTCAGCGAGTGTTTCTACATTTGCGATGGCAAACATCCTCATTGCTTTGCCCTTCGTCTTCATGATGGTGAGATGCTAAGACTCATATATGACATGTACAAGAGAGGAATAGGCACTTAAGAGTTTCATTCCCTCTTTATGTTTTAGGTCTTTGGTGGTTTTCTCGTCAATCTCAACGCCATGCTGAGCTGGCTCTCTTGGGTGAAATGGATCAGTATCTTCAAATATGGATTGGATGTAAGACACGGAAAGCAAGGGAGGAGGATTTGTGTGTGAGAATGAGACCACTGGGGCTGAATGTGCCTTTATGTGAAGTGAGGAGGTTGTTCAGCCTGATCTCTTTGTCTCTCTTTCTTAGGCTCTATACATTAACGAGCTGAAAGGACTGTTTATGTACAGCAACAACACAGCGTGAGTGAAATAACGTAGCTACTGTTTAAAACTTATGCACACACAGATTAAATGTGTCTTTGTGTCTTGTGCTTCAGCATCTCAGGGGAATATTTCCTGGAACAGCAAGGTATCGACTACTCCGTGTGGGGCTTCTGGAGGAACGTGGTGGCCTTGCTGGGAATCATATTTGTCTGCATGTGCCTGGCCTACGTCCAGTTGCGACGAATCAACCGCTGGAAATGATGCCCATTCATGTGTCCATAAGCAGCAAAGTATATTTCTTAGTAATTTAACAACAACAACAAAAAAAGCAACACTGGAGAGTTTTGTATAGTTCCACCAGACTGAGCTTTCTTTTACTATTATTTATTATTTCAGATCAATTTATACTGTAAAACATTACATTTAAAATCTTTTACTCACTTAAGCTCTAAAGTAGGGATGTCAGACTCATTTTACATCCCGGGTCACATGCTGCCCACATTGATGTTAAGTGGACCACACTAGTGAAATTCCTCTTTCTGTCATTGTAAAGACGTCTAACTGTCCATTTAAAGTCCCTTGGAATATCATAGAAGAAAAACAAGTGAAATTTCAATAGTATCTCAAAGTTTTTTGCATGATAAAGAAATGTTGTCAGAGTAGATGGAAGAAACCTGTCAGCACAAATAAAAAAAAAAAGTGTTAAATTAAAGAAAAATTTGGTTTAGCTCATTGCTCAGACTCTCCTGTAATTACAAAACTGAAAGTTTTTGTTAATTCTCAGAAAATATCCTATTTGTTTATTTTTTTTACATTATAAAAAAATGATATTTCTAAAGAGACAATGAAAAACATTCATTTTTTCTGTCATTTAATTTCAGGATGTTCTGTTCATCTGGACTTTGAGTTTTCAGTGGGAGAAACATGTCATTTCTTAAGAAGTCACTTGGATGAGTGAGGAAATATTTCTCCCACTGGAAACATAACCTCCAGATAAACAACTTTCTGGGATTTGCTTACCTTGATGATTGAGCTTGCATCAAGACTTTCATTTAATTGTTATATCTTATGTAATGACTTCAGTGTAAAAGTCCAAAATTACGCCCTCCTTTATGGGCTCAAATTGTGGTCATAAATATTTTGTACTTGTAAATCAGGATTTGTATGTGTAAAAAGAGTGTGTGTGTGTGTGTGTGTGCGTGCGTGCGTGCGTAAAAAGATTTGTATGTGGACTTAGCCAAAAAAAACTGTGTCAAACTCTACAAGTTACAAGTACGAATTTTGACCCGATTTTTCTTCCTTTCATCTGATTGGCCAATGTCATGTCAATCACAAATGTAACTATCCAATCAGAGAACAGATGGGTTTGGCTGTCGGAGGGGGTGCTTTTTTGAACTGCAGGTCCTTGAAGGGTAATACAGTTTGAAGCTGGAGGATCTCTATAAAAATTTCTGATAGCAGCTAGGTCCCCTAACTTTCAGTAGCTGTTGAAAGGATAAAGTTGTGGTATATCAGTGGTTAGAAATACCATTATTACTTTAGGATTAGTTTAACACAAAGTCCGGGCTGACCCGGGAACATTGCTGTGAGTCGCAGTGCTCAGCATAAAGGTACTTTCTCATCGGACGTAGGATGTGCTGCTAATGCTAACTAAAAGCAAAGGATCCAGAATTTGTTGTGCTGGCTGCTGAGCTCTGTATGTATGCTATGCCACATGTATGCTAATTCATAACAAAGAAAGCTTTGTAACTATCTCCACTAGTGAAGACTGTAATTTCCAAAACACTGCAAACAAATCTTTTTTTACAGACACACAAATTCTTTTTACACATAAATCCTGATTTACAATTACAAAATATTTATGACCTCAATTTGAGCCCATACTCCTTCAACTCCTCAACCGTCCTGTGGACTGGAGTCGAGTCTTTGCCCAGCCAATGCTGGCCCTTGGCCTTATGATTAAGGGCCCTGCTCTATAGCATTAACCATCACACGTGTTGTAACATTTGACTCCCAGGTGGATAAGCTGATATACTATGCGCACTTGGTGTGTGCACGAGGAAATGTCTGACAACTGCCAAGCCAAGACCTTAAATCCGTAGAAAGCTACTTAGCGCTTTCTTAGACAGTGTTGGTTACAAAAACAAAAGTACAAATGATTTGTCTTTAAAAAGTTTTAAAAGTTTCCCTGTTTTTAACTTATTAATTTCTTCTTTTTTTTTTTAATTGACTGCAAGTCTTACAAAACGTGATACTGATCAAATGACGGTAAAGGTGCAAACTGCTTAGCTGTGAAATTTAAAGTGAGGGCACAGAAGACTAAGGAAAAGCATTAAAAATCAAAGTAAACGTTGACTTTCCCTTTAATTACACTTCATCGGTTACTCTTCTGACATTGCATAACTGCGGATAAAGTGTCATCTTGTGCGAGATCTTTATCTATCTTTATTAGAGACGATCCTGTGACGTGCAAATCCTCCTGAGGCTCGTGCATCACTATAGATTACACATTGCAGCAGCTGTGTTGCTCTGTGCACTGCACCTCACAGCGCATGCTCGGGCAGTCAGTGAACAGTTGTGTCTTCTCGTCCTTGCACATTTGCACCTTGTTAGAAAGCCATGTGTCAATGAAAATATATTTTCCACAAAATATTTCAGTGGATCTTAACACCCAAGGCTCAAAAACACAAAATAAAAATAAATATTTTTTTCTTCTGCATACAGCCCTTGTAGTTGTAATCCAATAGTATAAAGAGATAGCCACGACACCATCATGCTGAATGACATCACATCACATTTTTTATCCTGGAAATATGTATGGGGGAAATTTGACATTTACCATGACAACGCGCATTTAATCCCGGGCGCTCGCTCATTTCCAGTCACCTTCAGAAACTTTTCACGCTGCTCGCGCTCCGACTCAGCCTGTTCCCCGCCGTCATTGGTGCGTTTTCCAGCCCACGTAGCCACTCTGTACATTTGAGCATCACGCGCTCATCCACGCCGTAGTTCTCCTCTTCCTCGTACTCCACGTCGTCGTACTTGTGCCGCTCATTCAAAAGGGAGATTTTCAGAATTGAGTTTATGTCTCCGAGCTCAGCGTCAGTGCTGTTTTTAGCGGGGACTCCGCTGTGAGAGCCGTTTCTCTGCCTTTTGGGCACGTTTTCCCTCCTGCGTCGGGACTCCGTGGCTCCTCCGGGAGCCAAGGTGGATCCACTCGCGGGATTTCTGGCGACTGAACGTTGCCGGTGTTTCTCGCTGTTTCTCCGCTGCAGCAGGAGGACAGCCTCGGGTGTGAGAGTCAGAGTGAAACGGACCTCCTGCTGATCCTTGGTTCTCACAGGCTTCACCTGTGAGTCACTCTTTACAGAAGTGTGACCAGAGTGTTTGTGCTGCTGTCTTTTAGACAGACTCTCTGAGCTGGTGACAGGAGATCTGCCTTTCTGGGATGAAGGCAGCGAGCCTTCCCTTCTGTTTGCCCCTGACACTCCTTTAATTGTTGGCAGATTACTCCTGGGCTGACTCTTCTTCCCCAGCTGTTTCAAGTTCAAAGCCAGCCTCTCCTTCACTGAGCCGCCTTTGTCTTCTTTCAAAGCTTTGGTCACAGCAGATACAGATGAAGTGTTGTTGGTGGGTCTCTCCTTCCCAGCGAGTCCTGACACAGAGCGCGTGATGGACACTGGCGGTATGAAGGGCATTTTGGCAGCGCACAGCATCAAGTAGGAGAGGAGTTCACTTTTGCTTGTGAAGTGTCGAAAGAAAAAAGAATGGACTAGGGAGGAAAGTGATTTCCTGACCGAGTTGAGATACTCTGATGCATCTTCAGCCATGCAAGGGTCAGCTGGCTGCAAGTGCGTCACTGCCTCGCGGATCCACCAGTGCTCCTCTACACAGGAATAACATTTCCTGATGCCTTATACCTGAGCTGTGAGTGGGAGGTTGTTGGCATGCTTTAAAAAAAAAGAAAAGGGCTTGTATGATGCTCATTACCCTGAGGCTCAAACATCTAAAATAAACCTACACCTCTAATCCTCTAGAGTGATTAGTGAGAGCACGTTTACTATGCACAGTACAGGTGCACATGCAGGCCTAATCCTCGCTGGATGTTTGGATGTGCAGTGAACTATGCAAACAAAGGTCACTTGAAACATTAAGCTTTTCTCCCTGCTCTGCATTTTAAATAAAACAAAGAAATAAAGCTTGAAAGATTGGCACAGAACACATTTATTTAATAGGATTCTTTCACAATTTGATTAAAACGTTTAAAATATCGAATTTTACACAACAGGAACTCGTGTGCTCTTATGTCTAAACGTGCATTTGACTCCAGCAATTGTGTGTTCACTCGCAGCACCGCTTCTTGTGCACGTGAAGAACCCGTCGACAGCGTGGACAACTGTGGTAGGCGTCCTTAAAGTGGTTTACAAAAAATGGAATCAGGCAGCAGCCGAGCACCAACCTGTGAGGCGGAAAGAACCACATGCTGATCTCTGACTTTTTAGAAATCGAATGTGTGATCGATGCTGGGATACAAAAAACAACCAGACTGAAGTGTTTAAATGCCTCTCACCCGCATAACACAAACACAAGACACACGAGCCACGCAAAAGTCCCGGCTTTAAAGGTGACCTCTGTGGTGACCCGAGTCCTGCAGGAGGGGCAGGTTGCCAGACCTGGAGAGCATCGCAGCTCAGCTTCATAGCTCACAAACTTTGCCCTGGGTGTACGTAAAGGGGCATCATACACTGTTGAGAAGAGGTTAAAAATGAATGCTGACATGCAACCTGAAGGGGATTGCTGCTAATTTTTTTTAAATGTAAAACTAAAGTAAAGTAAGTAAACTAAAGTAATAAATTATTAAGCTATGTTTAAACTTAGCAGTGAGCAAAGAAAATGTGACATTACATATTCAAAATGGAGGTAGAAGAGCCTGTACCTGGTACAGCTGAGAGAATATTGTTGGGCAAGCAAACTCCTGAAGACGAGGAAGGCGGTTGTGGTGGCTGTGCTGGTGGTGGTGGTGGACGGGTGAAAGGTGAGTGGACTTTGTAGACTTTGACATCTTGATCCGATTTACAGTCCTCTGGAAAAATGGATACACAGTGAGGTTTTTGTTTTTTCAACCACAGGAAAACAGACTAAGCAATGCTTGAGATGAGAGGTTATTTTTACCTGGTAAGAAGTATGGCGTAGGTGCAGGAAACAGCTTATCCACATTTGATTCCATTTAAAAGGCCTGAGGGAGCGTGAGAGGAAAAACAAGGGAAAACTCCTAAAATGTGCCTCCTGTGTTTGCGTCCAGCAGGGATTCATCAGCAGATGTACCAGGTGCTGTTAATTGAATTTGCCTCTGATTGGTTCAAGAAGGTATTACCCATTGTTCAATAGCGCCATGAGCATGTTAAACAGGTAGAAAGGTCTGGGGCAAACCTTCCCCCAAACAGCCATCTTGCTTAGTTTTATTCCACTGGAAATTGGTAAAAAAAATCAAATTTTGTTTTTTTTAAACACCAAAGATAATCTGTTCTTTATGAGTAAGACCAGATGTGCTCTATTATGCAAAATAGAGCTCCTCATTTCTTTGGATGCTTATCCTTATCAGGGTTGCAGGGAGGAGCCAATCTATGCTTTTACTGCATTAACAGTGTATTTGTGATCATTGTCATGCTGAAAAATGAAGCCTGAAAAATGCCAATCAGATACTTAACAGACCCTACTGACTTCCAACATATTAATGAGGACTTGGCCAAAAGCTTCACATTTGGACTCATCACCCCAATAAGACCTGGTGCCACTGATTTTCTGTCCAGTTCTTGTATAATTTGGCATACTTCAACCTTTTCTCTTCCTTAAGAATGACATCTTGATCAGATACTGTTTATCTGTTATAGATGGTTTTTAGGCCTACTTCTTCTTTTGTCCTTCACTTGTCCAGTTTCCTCAAACATTTTAAGAACACACTGCCTATCATGCAAAGATATGCCAATTTTTCAGCCAAGAGCTCTTTGTTAATCCTTTCTTTGGTGGAAAAATACTGAAAAAAGCCTGGAGCACTATTGCTCAAGACCACTTTAAAAAGATGACATGAAAAGCTAAATACAGAGAAACTAGGGGTGGGTCAAGAATTTTACAGTACCATAAATATTTAAAACCTGGTTTTAAAATTCCGAGTCGGTGATTCTGTGTTTTGGCAAATCAAATCAAATCACTTTTATTGTCACATCACATGTGCAGGTACATTGGTACAGCACATGTGAGTGAAATTCTTGTGTGCGAGCTTCACAAGCATTATTCACACATTATCAGACAAAACACACCATCTAAGCCTAATGAAGTCCTCTAGTCGTGTTTAATACAACACTGATACAACGGCCACAAGTCTGTGCTGTTTTGTAACCGTTTAAAGCACTCTGGGTAAAGCACCAGAGGAGCTCTTCTCGGGCTAGGAGTAACGTGAGATCTAGCGACGTGAACGAGGTTATTCACTTGAATGTAACAGCTAGCGTAATGATGCTAAGCTAGCTGTCAGCCTGGCATCCACGGGTTTTGCTGCAGAGTTTTAGCTACCGGATGCTCCCAGTCGTATCCTGCTGGCCGTCTTGACATTCCCCTCAACATTCCTGGACGAATTCGTGTCGACTGACCAGAGTCCGCGAATTCAGGTCCACTCCTAATCTAACCTTTCCCCCCGCTAGCGTGATTTAGCTCACCGGCTAACAAGAGTTCAACACTCGGGAGAACCGGACTGACGAGGTAAGTTAGCATATGGAGGCTAGTGGGATGGACAGGCTAATGGTCTAGCTGTCACCGGGAGTAAAGGCTTCTTGTACGAGGAAAAAATAATCTTAGAAAGGAGGCCTTCTGGTAAGCGTGTGGACACAGTCGTTGTCATTATATCCCTCAAAATTCCCCATCTTGCTATTAGGTCTGTGTAACACCGGCGAAATGTGAGCTAGCAATTTGATTGACTTGCTAGAAACGTTTTGCTAATGTTAATTTACCGAGGGAAGCAGCTGACCTAGTAATGGTAATATTACCGGAGCTAGCTTAGCAAGTCCGTACTGGTTTAGAAGAATGTTGTATGTCTGTTTGGGGCGAAAAAGGACTTAAGTGAAAGTCAGCTTGCTAACGTTAATTTGCCATTATTATTTAAGAGAAACTAGTAAAGAAAGCTTCTCGGTGACAGGGTTTATCTAAAGAATCCAAGCTAGCGGCTAACACGTACATTACGAGTTAGGGTGCTTTAAAAGTTAACAGTTAACTAGCTGTCCTATGTGAGCAGTGAACCAGCAGCTTCCATTATGTATGCTGTAATTTGTTTAGTTTTTAAGTCTACCGAGACATTGTTCTGGTCTCCTGCTGGCTGGGAGTGTGTTTGCCGTGTTTTGCTTTGCTTTGTGAGTTTTTGCTGTGTGTTTTTGCTTCGCAGAGTTCAACTTAAGGACCACACCCAAACATGTCCCTTCATCAGTTTCTGTTGGAACCCATCACCTGCCACGCATGGAACCGCGACAGGACACGTAAGGCTCTGAGACTGTAGCTATGAGAAATGCTCACTTTAACACAACACATTTCAAGGTTAAGGTCTTAAAGTCTTTGTCTTCATTGGGTGGTCAGATCACAACTACAAAGAATGCTGTTAGAGCAATTTCATCTGAACAGAGATAAGATTGACTCAGTTTATTTTGGGTAACACAGGTTGGAATTTGGCATGTATCAGAAAACTGGTCTAACTTGTTTGTTATCTGTGTGCTCATCCTGTTAACCAGCTGGTTTCTTCTGTTTTGTTTTCCTTCAGAAATTGCCATTAGTCCCAATAACCATGAAGTTCATATCTACAAGAAGAGTGGCAACCAGTGGGTTAAGACCCATGAACTGAAGGAACACAATGGCCATATAACAGGTGGTTAATCAGATGTTTTTAAGACTGATCGTTTGTTTTACTTATTTAACGTGACGTTTCAGTCCACGTCTCACCCAACATGTCAGTAAAATTAATGTTTCTGAAGAATTCTTTAATAAGTAAAACCACAGCTAAGGTGGGATTGTGTGATCCTAAAGGGGTTTCTTTTTGTCTAAGCTATTAGTAGAGTTGTTAGTGACTGCATATTGGCTGTGTTATAGGCATTGACTGGGCTCCCAAAAGTGACCGCATAGTGACATGTGGAGCAGACCGTAATGCCTATGTGTGGTCCCAGAAGGAGGGGGTATGGAAGCCCACACTGGTCATCCTCAGGATCAACAGAGCGGCCACCTTCGTCAAGTGGTCTCCATTGGAGAACAAGTTTGCAGTGGGCAGCGGTGCTCGACTCATCTCTGTCTGCTACTTTGAGTCCGAGAACGATTGGTGAGACTATTAATCCAGCAGTGGCATGATTTAAATGCATTGATGTTCTGGTGAATGTTGTGAATAATGTCTTTCTTTGAAAGTGCAGCATTTAAGTTCAGTATTGCAATTTATTTGAATTATTAGTGCATTATTTTGAACCTATACGTCCAGACCAAACTGCTTTACCTCAATTTTCACACCTGCTTTAACAGGTCGGAGCAGCCACACAGCCTGTGTGAAACGCTTATCTGAGGTGTGGCTTGAACTTTCATACAGAAGTGCGTCATCAAGAGTTGGGAGGCATGTCTCTCTCAGCAGTTATAGACTGTGAAAAATTCTGTTGGTAGCCACATTGACTTGCTACCAATATCATTACAGAAATGATACTTATCATTATAGTTATAATAACGCTACACCTGTAAATGTCATGAACACAAAAGTAGAGTTGATTTTCTTTCGTTGGCATGTTCTGATAGCATTTAAAGAAGAATGAGGGTGATACATGTGTGCTAAGCAATCACAGCACAATCCCAGTGAAGGCTATAATTATGTGAGGACGTTAACAGAGCATTAGGTGAAGGGCAGCCTTTCTCTGGTGCTCTCTACTTATCTCTGGCGCAGAGAGAGTGCAGT